CCCAACCAGCTGCTGCTGCTGCTCCCCGTTCCCCTCCTTCCTGAGCCAACACGAAGGGGACCGCAGCTCGCACTGACCTGAGTCTGGCGCTGAGGAGTCTCCTGTGCAGCGTGGCTCCCCTGCGCTGTGTACCCACTCATCTCATTGCGCAATGGCAACAGCGTGAGGAGAGTCGTCCCCTCCGCCTTGATCCTGGCCCAGGGGGGTATTTTGCTTGTGTGCGCGCGTGCAAGAGATCACCACAAGAAAAGTGTTGGAGTTCTTCCCGACACTGAGTTGCCTGCAAAGGATGCAGAATCGCAAAAGGAGGAGAGAGGCTCGTGCCTTCTCGGGGCGGTGAGCAGATTGCGCGATTGGCTTAGCAGGGAGCCGCAGGAGAGGGGTCAAAGCCTATTAAGACTGTTACTCATGCTAAGCATGGGTAACAGTCTTAATAGGGAATCTCAGCGTACGCGCATCCCACGTTTCTTTATTTTATTCTATTTTCCTCACCTTGTTTTACGTCTCAGAAATGGTACCTCTTGGTTTCCGTAGCTCTGCCCATCAACCGCCATCACTCGGAGCGAGCTGCTTTCCCAGCATCCTCTGTGTTGCGCGCATCTCTCTTTCCCCCCTCCTCGCCTCCATTCCGGTTCCTACTTTCCCACCACACACACACACACACACACACACACCTCCTTCTGCAACGCTGGGAACCCAAGCCGCTCCTTCCCTTCGGGCCGTCTTCTTGCCAGCCTCTCCACGGGAGGCTCCTTGGCGACCCCTGTGAAAAGGTTGTTCGACCCCAAAAGGGGTTGCGACCCACAGGTTGAGAACCGCTGTGCTAAAGGGTTTCACTTTATGAGCAAGAGTTGGCTGCTAATAGTTATAATTACATTTTAACTATTTTAATTCCTCAAGGTGCTCTGGCACCCTGCCTGATTTGTAACTTTGAGTTGCAGGTATTGCTGATGAAAAGGAAGGTATTCAGACAGAATGATTTAGGTTTCATGATGGCTGTGACTGTCATTGATCTTCAGTATGTATTCCCCCATTTCTAATCTAATGATTGGTATTTAAGGCAGCTTTTTGCAAGCAAAGAAGCCTTTTGTATTTTTGTACAGCCAATCCTTGACTTACGACAGTTCATTTACTGACCATTCAAAGTTACAATGTCACTGAGAAAAGTGACTTGACCATTTTTCACACTTACGACTGTTGCAGCATCCCTATAGTCACAAGAGGCTGGGCAAGGCAAAGTGCCCCTCGATGTGAGTGATGTCAAGTTGGCCACACCCACCCAGTCACATGACCTCCCAGGCACACCTGCCCAGCTGGTCATTAGGGCAGAGAACCGGTTAAATTATTTGAATCCCATCATTGGGTCACCTGAATATTCAGGTATTTACTATTTAGTGCAAATGGGTGTGGAGCTTTCTTGAAACTGATGAAACTGGCACAGTCTTTTCAGCAGTTCCAAGAAAGCTCCACATCCATTTGCACTACTCAGGTGACCCTGATGACACAGATAAACCTCCAGGTGGCCTCAACAACTTTTTTAAAAGAATGCAAATGACCAGCTCTGTGCACAGAATATAAATCCTTCCATTCCCCACTATCCAGTTAGAGCTGAAGAAGCTTCTTGGATCAGAAGCGAAATGTCATTAAAGAAAACAAAGTCCAGTTGCCTCTTGGAAAATTACCTTTGGGATTTCCATCTTATCTCCTAGATGACCTTCTCTGCATTAACTACTATAATCATTTGATTCTCAGTCTTTGCTTCAACCTTGGATCTGCTGTCTTCTTATGAGGTTAGAGCAAGCTGTGAGAAGAAGCCAAACTGCACACTGGAAAAACTATGGGATGTACACATTTTTATTCCAGTGCTGTTCTATAAACTCTGCCAATGAGAAAGTTCTGAGGAATCTGTTTTTATCAGAGAGAAATAAAAAAAGTACTATGGGAATTTTCAGTTCACTGTCATATTTGTGTAATATTGTAACTGGCTGATTCTCTTCCTGAAACTTCAGCAGGAAATCCTCAAAGCTCCACCACACACTTCTTCCAGCAAAAAAAAAATCTCTTTAAAAATTAAGAGGCACAAGGTTAAGTTAGTTAAATATTTACCCCCTACCTGATGCAAACCATGAAAGATGCGGGTCTTCCCTTTCTTCAGAGGTGGTCCAGAACTAGAATAGGAGACAAAGATGTTCAGTAGTCCACAACAAAACAGATGTTGCTCACTCATTCACTATCAGCAACTGGATCAGAAAGTTAGCTTTTCCCAGAATAGACGGCTGCCTGGTTTTATACCTACTTAGGTTTTGATTATAGTGGTAGGTAAATATATTAAATAAATCAACCTATGAATGGCAGGATCTTTGTTTTATGCTAAGAGAGAACTCTTCTCTCTAGAACAGCAGATGATGAGATAAAACCTTTAGAACAGTGTCTCTCAACCTTGGCAAGATGTGTGGACTTCAAACTCCCAGAATTCCCCAACTGGCTGGGAAATTCTGGGAATTGAAGTCCACACATCTTAAAGTTTTCAAGATTGAGAAGTACTGCTTTAAATCAAGTGGTTCTCTCAGGCTTACAAGAGGTTTGAACTAACCAGTCCTACCACTGTCTCCACCAGTGGTGGGATTCAATTTTGGTTTGGTGGGTGTGGTGTGACTTGGTGGACATGGCAGGGGAAGGATACTGTAAAATCTCCATTCCCTCCCCACTCCAGGTGAAGGATACTGCAAAATCCCCATTTCCTCCTAATCAGCTGGGATTCGGTAGGTAGAAAATAGATTGTGGTGGGGCCAATCAGTGGTGGTATTTACCGCTTCTCCAAACTACTCAAAATTTCTGCTATTGGTTCTCCAGAAATGGTCAGAACCTGCTGAATACCACTTACTTCTGGTCTCCACCAATGCATTTGCATCAATAATGCCTTTCTAACTTAGCCTATCTGAGTTCTAATTTTAAAATCCTCACTCACACAGATGTGGCCCTTTGACTTTATAAAAACCAACATCCAATATGACCAAGACATTACTATCATTTAGTAAATTGCTAATCATCATGTTCTAGTTAGTGAACCATTAAAACTATGCATACTTTGGATTCTCTTCCAAAAGGTAGGGTCATGCATATAAAACAGCAGTGTTTTAAAACAGCCATGTCTTTTCCTGGAACTTTATGACAGCTACAAAAGCACACACATTCCCCTGGAAAAAGAACTACTTGATTTATATGAATGTTACATTCAGGTTCATACAGGAACCTGTATTCAAATCTTTTGGGAATCATATTAAGTGTTGCAGGGACCTTTTGATTATGATGGTTAGGCCACCTCACCTTTCTAGTCACCTGCTCCTTATTTGAAATTGAGAGCACCTGACATAATGGGCTTTTGGGGAAGCCCCAAAAAGGGGGGGGGGTTGCTTGCAAAGAGAGAGATGGAATCAACATCATTTGAATGGAACAAAGGAAAAAGATGAATGTGGGAAAGGAGAAAGGGGGAACAAATGTGCAACAACTACTGCAGCTACTTGCAAAACATCCTTAAGGCCAAACGTTTTTCCTGTCATTTTTTGCAACAGTTTAATAAAGAGAAGGAAATGCAACCAGTTGCTTACAGGGCCAGTAACTCCTTCAGCTTCCCATTGACTTGTTTGTCAAAAGCCTCTCCTGCATCAGACAACTGAGAAGGTTGGTCATCATGGTCACTGGCAAAGGCTCCAAGAATGAGACCCTACAGAAGGTGGAGGTTTAGTTAGGTAACATTCATAAAATAATGGCAGATCCTGTCCACAGGATCAAGATTAGAGGGCAAAACATTTTCAACATAGACTCATAGCTTTTATATTGTATTATTTTGATGGAGCAACATTCTCTTCTACTGAAACCAGGGTCACTCTGAAATATAATAACTTTTAATTAATAGACTAATTTCACCTAACCTTATCAACTTTAAACGTGCTCACTACAGGCCAGCCTTTCAAAAGAAAAAAGTTATGTAGTGAAAGATCCTGCACAAATTGGGAGATAGGCAAAATCTCTATTTAGACCATGTAACTGCTGCAAATTCCTACTCCCAGCCCTTGATGGCTTCCTCTTGCCCTAAGATCTGAACTCACTTACCTTTCCGCCATGAGGACTAGAGCTTTGTTGATGAGGCATTGTCTGCAGAACTGTCCTTCTGGCACTTTCAGCTCACTACCGGGGCAGATTTTATAGCAGGGACGATATCTTGGTCCCACCTCCAAGGCTTAACTCTGTCCAATGTGAAAACAGAAGGAACAGCAGGGCGTGAGCCACTGCAAGCCCTCAAGGTGCTCAGTGCTGCCTTCCCAAGAGATTTCACTTTGTTTCTCTCAATTTGCCTTGGGGGGGAAATCTGAGGAACAAGCTAGAAGCAGGACTCAGCAGGTTCAGAAAGTGCCTGACCTGTGCCAAGACCATATGAAATGCTCATGGTCTACTCCAGTGTTTCTCAACCTTAGCAACTTTAAGATGTATGACTTCAACTCCCAGAATTTCCCAGACAGCATAGTCCATATCTCTTAAAGTTGCCAAGGTTAGGAAATGCTGATCTACTCACTTTAAAGGCTTCCAGATGCTAAATCAAGACACTTGTCCCTTCAGGCAGTTTAAAGGATTTATGGGGCAAAGAGGGAGGGGTTATTCTCAATTTTTGGGAGATTGGCAACAGTAGACCTATCTAGTCTTTTTTCTATTTTGTCACACATGCCCAGTTTTTTTTCCTGTCTTTCTCTATACAAAAGATTTTTTAAAATTGTTGCCCTAAAAGTGGCTGAAAACCAGTGTTTCCCACAATTTAAAGATTAAGAAACCTGATCTCTTTAAGTCTTAGAACAAGGCTGTTCTGAATTAAACCATGTTTTGGGAGTAGGTGGACTAAAACAAAAGCTGCAGTTAAGGCTGAAAAAACTGCTGCCATTCACTGAAGACAATATCAATCTATATATGGTTTATCACATGCAAAATCAATATAATTTAGTCACTCAGTTCATCCACAGACGAGCAAATTGAACCACATGATTTCTGATACAACCTAGTTACAGGCAAAGCTGGAATGGCCTCAGCTGGATCCCAACCATTGGGAACAGGGGCATGCCTAGGAAAGGATGACTCATCTGGATGTGAGCAATCACCAGGCCTCACCAGTTGTACTGCATTACAACTCCCATCCCCTCCAGTCATTGGCCACATTGTTGGGGATAATGAGAGCTGGATCTCAAAACATGCTAGTTATCAGATACAAACAACAGACTATAATACAGACACAATACAATATAAAATTGTATTGTATTACAATACAACACAAAACAATAAAACATGATACAATACAAAACAGAATACAATATAGACACAAGTAATAGAACATATTCAAACCAGTGTCTTAGAACTTTAAAAGAGCTAATTTTGACAAACTCAGAAAAAGCTTGGAAAGAATCCCATGGATGAAAATCTTAAAGGGGAAGCCAACTCAAGAAGCTTGGGAAATTCTGAAAAATGATTATAAAAGCCCAGTCCAGCTCAATACCACTGAAAAAGAAAAACAAGAAATCCAAGAAGAAACCACTATGGTTGCACAAAGAGCTCTTAGACAAACTGAAAGAAAAAAAAAGGATAAGTTCAAAAAAATGAACAAAGAGGGACACACAACTAAGGCAGAATACCAACAAATAGCTTGAACCTGTAAAGATGAAGTTAGGAAAGCTAAGGCTCAAAACAAAGTAAGACTTTCAGCAAATATCAAAAATGTTAAAAAAAATTCTTTCAACACATAAAAAACCAGGACAAAAGTTAAAGAAACTATTGGTCCACTAATTGGAGATGATGACAAGGAACTAACGATCAGTAGAGAGAAACCAGAACTGTTTAACTCATTCTTTGCATAATACAACCCAACTTACCAAAAACAGAACTGTAAAAAGATGGAATAGGAATGCAAATTAAAATGAGCAAAAATAAGCTAAGAGAATATCTCTCAACTCTAGACAAATTCAAATCATTGGGTCCTGATGCATTACATCCCAGAGTTCTGAGAGAACTGGCAGACATGATCTCTGAACCATATGTTTTAAAGTTCTTAGAGTACCAGGGGACTGGAAAAGAGTTGATGTGGTTCCCATCTTCAGAAAAGAGGTGGGGAGGGGAACAAATCCAGGAAACTACAGACCAATCAGTCTGACATGAATACCTGGGAAGATCTTGGAAAAGATAACCAAGCAACAAATCTCCCAACACATAGAAGCAAACAAACGTACAACTACAAGCCAACATGGTTTCACCAAGAACAGATCATTCAAAAATAATCTTATTTCATTCTTTGAATAAGTGACTAAATTAGTTAAATTAAATCAGTTTTATAACCAATGGTATAAAAATGCCACTACACTAAAGAAATTCTGTCATATGGATTTACAGACACTATTCATTAATTATACCCTTCTATGACTTCCATGAGTTTTGTTCATTTATATCAGGTTTGTCAAACTAAAGGCCCGTGGGCTGGATCTGGCTTATGGGGTGCTTAGATCTGGCCCGTAGGGCCAGCCTGGAAATAGCAAAGGACCAACCCATGGTGGCTCTGCTAGAGAAAACAAGACATTGGGGGGGGAGGGGCCTGCTCGCACCCCATTTTTGCTGCCAGAGTGCTGCAGGAGGCTGCCCAGGCCAAAAACAGGGCGCAGGGTGTTGGGCACGGCCTACCCGCACCCTGTTTAGTTGCCAGACTGCCACGGGAGGTTGTCCAGGCTAAAAACGGGATGCGGGGGGGGGGCACCCCGTTTTGCCTGGCAGAGGGCTATCAAAACTAAAAACAAAACAAAAGGAGAAATGTTTCCCCTTTTGCATTTCAGCATGCAAGAAGGGGCAGGAATGGAGAAAGGGAAAGAGGAAAGAAAAAGATGGGAAAAGTTCAAGGAAGGAAAAATAAGGAAAGAAGAAAGAAAGAAGAAATTTGAATGAAGGGGGAAGGAAAAAAAGGGGAGTGTTGAAACGTGACTCAATGCCAGTAACTGAGCAAGGTCATAGAGTCGTAGTGGGCAATTACTTAAATATCAGCCAGCAGGGTGTGGCTGCAGCCAAAAAAAAAAAAACCCAATGCAATCCTAGGCTGCAATGATACAGGGATAGAATCAAGATCATGTTAAAATATTAGTACCACTTTGCAAATCATTAGTAAGACCACACTTGGAATACTGCATCCAATTTTGGCCACCACAATATAAAAAACATGTTGTGACTGTGGAAAGGGTGGAGAAAGCAACAAGGATGATTAGGGGGCTGAAGGCTAAAAAATATGAAGATCGGCTGCAGGAATTGGGTATGTCTAGTGAAAAGGACTAGGGGAGACATGATAGCATTATTCCACTATTTGAGAAGTTGCCACAAAGAGGAGGTGGTCAATTTATTTTTCAAATTCAGAAGGCAAGACAAGAAATAATGGAGGGAAACTAATCAAGGAGAGAAGCCACCTAGGAAGAAGGAGAAATTTCCTAAGTGAGTAGAATACCTTCAGATGTTGTGGGTGCCCCATCCCTGGAGGTTTTCTTAGAAGGCCTCTCCATCCCTGGAGGCTTTCTTAGAAGTACAACAGGGGTGGGTTTCAACCGGTTTGCGGCGGTCCCTGCGAACCGGTTGGTCGGCGAACCCGGAAGTAACTTCCGGGAACGGCGAAGGGCCCACCCACCCACCCGCGTTCCTTACCCGGTTTTGACGAGTTCTGCGCTTCCACGCATGCGCAAGACGCATACAGCGCCTGCGCGATCCTCCAGGAGCAGCTGGAGCATCGCACAGACNTCAACTCCCAGAATTCCCCAGCCAGCGAATGCTGGCTGGGGAATTCTGGGAGTTGAAGTCCAGACATCTTCAAGTTGCCAACGTTGAGAAACACTATACTAGAGGTAATGCCAGATTCCTATGGGGTCATGTAAGGGTCATAGCTGGTTCTACAAGCAAAAGGGGAAATGCAAATCCTAGGTGTTTTGTTTGAGCTAATCTTGTCAGCTTCGGCTCTTTGCCTACTGTCTATTTGGAGTTTCTGGCTGCTCTTTGCTTATGAATCGACTGGCCCAGCTTTCTGAATGGATTCAAAATATCCATTCCTAATGACTAGCCTCTTCAGGTTTCTGCTTGAGGCTGTTTTCCTATAGCAGGAAGACTGGGGTTGCTTTCTGCCTCTTAAGATTTTTCTCCTCTTTTTCGGGGGAAATATTCTATTCTGCCTCTTTTTAATATTAAGAATAAAGAATATTTTATTCTGGGAAGGGGGACCTCCCTATAGTAGCATTTTGAAGTGTTTTTCCTTCCCAATTGGTGATTTTGCTTACGACTGCAAACCATCTGGTGTTCCTTCCAGCAATTTATTCCAGTGAGTTCCAAACAACCAATTTATAATAAATTACATATAAATTACTGGTTCTATTAATGTCTCAAAAGACCAGCTATCCCTGGTCATGTTCATATACAAAGAGATCTCTTTTGGTTGGGATGCCAACATTTCATTGGCTGCACAATCTTTAGCAGATATCAAGAGTTGCCCCTTGAAGGCTTGAGAGGTCCACAGCTGCAGAAACTAACAGATGTTGTTCTGAGAAAGATGAGCAGCTTTCCTTTGATAGGTTGTCCTTAATCACAGCCAGTTCCAGGTCAGAGGACAATTGCAAATGACTGTCTGGATTGATAGAATTACAAATGTTTTGGGAAGAGGATTCAATCAACCTCTCTCAAGACAGAATGTTTTATTGTCTTCTTTTTTTCATTACAGCACAGCTTTGTTTTGTGATTTGAGATGTTATAATTTGATGAGGGCAGGCCAGGTCTTCATGGACTGGAATATCTGCCAATCTCAGTCTTGTGGCTCCTGGATTTTCTTCAATTCCTTAAAACTGGTCTCCCGGTACAATCAACGGTAACAGCAGCTTTGTCATTCTCACCCTTGGGGCAACAGAATGCCTTGGTGAGAATGTTGTTATCTGATTATGTGCCATCAAATTGGTGTCCACTCTTAGGGACAACTTAGATAGATCTTTTCCAGGACAATCTCCAACCTGGTTGGATTGTCTGAAACCTGGTCTTTCAGATCTTCCAATGATATATCCATAGTTGCTGTTGAATGTTGTATTCTCTTTCCTTCCACCTTTCCCAGAAACTATGGTAGATTTTCACAGAAGGTCTCCTAAGTAGAATGATTTGAGCCAGGTCATTTTTTGTCTTGAGTTGGTTTGTTTGATAATCCATTTATTTGTTTTCTTGATTATCCATTGTATTCTCAGGAGTCTTCTCCAAAATGAAGTTCAAAAGCATCAATGCTCTTCCTGTCCTGCTGCTTCAAAGACCACTTCCAAAGAGCATGACAGTGAAAAAAATGGCTTGCACAATTCTGATACTTGCAGGTACAGACAAATTGCACCATCTGAATATGTCACTTACAAATATCTAATTTCCCAGTTCAGAATTATCCAAAGCAGTGCCTTAATTAAAGTATTTCCCTGCCTCATCCATTGCATTTTGCGGAAGTTCGAGGCTTTTCTTTTGGACACATATAGTCCTATCTTGTTCTTTCCACAACATATCATTCAGGAGAGAAATAAAAATCAATTTTGTTTTGTCACTAGTTTTATTTATGCATGTCTCATCTGGTGTATATTTGTCAGTTTTAGGTGGCTTTGATAAGCACAGACAGAGAACCTAGACTTTTTTGTATTATGCTTTTTCCTTTTTGGCATTCCGTTTATCTGAGAAGTTTGAATTAAATTCCAAAATGCTCAGTAAAAATAGTAAAAATGAGCTAATGATGCAAAATAAAATTGAATACAATAATAAATGAATAAATAAAAATAAAAGGAGATATAGAGGACGTGTGCCACCAGCTCATCAGCCCCATTTGTGCCACCAGCTCATGAGCCCCATTTTCCTTTCATTCTGAAGAGAAGGATGACATGTTTAGTGCCCAGGGATGTGCAGTCAGGGGAGGCAGGGCCCCATCACTGTCATTATGAAAAGAAAAAAAATGTAAAAGGAAAAAGGCTTATCTAGTTGCTGCCAGAGTCACAGTGGATGAGTCTGCTTAGTGCTTCACTGTTTAAAAAAGCCACTAAGAAAGTGCCCTCTATAGGAGGAGGCGGGAGAACGAGGTGCCTCATNGCTTATGAATGAATGAACAAGGAATGTTACAATTTATCTAGAGTTAGCTTTACAAAAGGGGAGTTAAAGTACAAGGGAAGGTACAATGCTAAAGTTAATTAGTTTATTTTAGTGTATGATTGTTAAATGTTTATACCCTGTATTTGCTCTGGGAGGTTGGTGGGGAAGGGTGGGAGGGGATGTGGGATTGGGGGGGAGGGAGAGAAGGGGAAAGGAATACAATTGTAAAACTTATTAAAACTTTTTAATAATAATAAAAAACAAGGCAAGGCAGGTTTAAATAAGTTCAGTGAATTCTCGGTTCATGTTATAGTGACTCCAGTTCAGAAATATTGAAAGTTGAAACCGCGGGGGCTTTAAGCCTTTCCTTCCAATGGGAACAGCGTTACAGATGAAAATATAATATTACAAATAAAACATTCCTACTCTGCTGTTCTATTTCCACAAAAAACTTGAAAGCAGGAAATTACTAAGCACCTGAAAAGTGCTTCTGAGCCCTTTCGGAACACACCAACCCGTGTCATGATCGTGGCCAACCAAGCTCCACTTAGAGGTGTCTTTTCCCACCGCAAAAAAATAAAATAAATCAGATTCGGGCCATTGATGCAGCAGGGGGTCTGTCTGGGGACAGTGTCACACAGAGGGCTTGATCTTGGGACAGTATCACGGGCAAACGCAAATCACCCCGACCATCTTCCCTCGCTAGTTCCGCAGCAGGCCAGCCAGCACTCCAAGCGCTGGGGCGGCCGAACCTCCAGCTCAACTGCGAAGAACAGAGGAGCCTGGAAAAGACGGGGACAGGCTGCCCGCGACGCAGCGCCCCGGAGCATCTGCCGTCCGGAGGCTCCGCAGAGCGCGGCGAGGGCTTGACGCCTGCCTGCCTCTCCCTTCCGCTCTGATTCCCAGAGCCCGAGAGGCGCGCTCGAGCCCTACCTGCCGAGCGGCGGCGCGCGTGCCGGCAGCCATGGAGGCGGCGAGGAGGAGGAGGGCGCGCGGGGGACGGGCGATCAGCGGGCACCGAACTCTCGCCAACAGCAGGCGCGGAAGCATGCTCGCCGCCCAAGGCCAGGGGGACGACGGGAACGGGGCGGGGGGAGACCAGAGGGGCCGGGCGGGAGGCGAGGCTCCATGTGAAGGGTGGGGGGGAACCCTCGTGGGAAGGGCAGCGGACATCTTTTATGCAACAACCTTGCTTTCTCTGCGCTGCTTTCAAGGGTCTACGTTTGCTGATCAATGCGTGAACAAAGTAATAGTCCCAGGCGGCTGGGCAGATCTCAGATCCTCGAGCAAAGTTTCCCTTTCTCTCCCTTGTGAGGGAGGGGGTCCCCAGGGTGCCGCTCCCTCCCCTCGCCTCTTGCACCGAAGTCAAGCCTGCTGGATTTTAAGATTCCGGCCCTCGTGGAATGGAAAGAGACCTGGATACCCCGACCCTGGAGGCAAATTCTGTCCAGTGTTAAAGTAGGACGTAAAATGAGATTTGGACATTAAGTGTGAAACCTACTGGGTCAGGCTGGACAGCCTCTCGGGGACCCTTTTAGTTCTATATTAAAAAGCCACATAGGCAGAGTTGCAGTTTGCAAAAGAACAGGAAGCAAGTGCCTAACCGCAGAGTTAAATAGTGTCACAAGATCACAAGGGTCAGCTAAAGTTCGCTTAGAGACAGTACTCAGTACCTATGACAAAAGGAGAAGACCCCATCTCCTTATAAGGCTTTCTCCTCAAGGTAACCACTAAGAAATGAGTTAAGTGTTCCCGTGTTACGCTGCCTTTGAGAATGTATAAGAATGCGTGCTTTGATGATGAAGGTTGTTCATAACTTGCAGTGCTAGCCATGGGCTAGCTTTCTGAAGCTGGCTGCCAAATAAACGTTTCCTAAATCCTGAGAAGTCTAAAGCCTGATAAAGTAGAATAAAATATGGATTAAAAATATAAGAATTAAGACATAGAATAACAGGGACAGAAGTTGCTTAAAGGAAGTGTCCCCATTCGCTAACCACAGGATGTTCTAAGCCAAAGTCCCTATGTCAAAACCTATGTCAAAAGTCCAAACCACAAGGTTCAGATAAAGTTCGTTAATAACACGTAAGCCATACCTGAAACAAAAGGAGAAGTAA